TGTGATGGAGAGGACAGATAGTCGCCCATCCTAATGGCATTTATGATCTGTCAGTTAGGAAAGAGGAAATGATTGAGATGAGGTATTCAGGACAAGAAAGTGAATGGAGTTGGTCAATAAGGCGAGCTGCGTAGACCGAGGGATAGGCTGATTTTACGTCTAGGAAAAGAGCGGCCACAATTTTGCCGTTCCTCCATTGCTGTTTCACCCAGGATGTGAAGACCACTAGAGCGTCGACAAGGCTTCGGCCTCGCCTGCCGCCCATGTGCCCTTGCGGGAGGACTCCTTTGGTCTCGATCCAATGGATCAAGCGTTCGTTGAGAACTTTTTCAAATAGCTTGCCCAGGGTGCACAGTAGTGCGATGGGTCTATAGGCGTTGGGTTCATTGTAGTCGGGCTTCCCTGCCTTCCGAATGATTGCCGTTGTGGCAGTTCGCCAATCTTTGGGGAAATGACCCTGCCTTAAGCAGGCATTGAACAGGGGGGTGAGGAAGGGTGCGAGCTGGGTTTTGCCCATCCTAAGCAGTTCATTGGGAATATTGTCGGGTCCCACTGCCTTTTTTGAGGGAAGAGAGTCAATGGCGCGATTGATTTCAGCAAGTGTAATGGGGGGGAAGTTTCTGTGGGGTGTAGCTAGGTCCCTAGATTGGATGTCTGAGAGATCACAGATGGAATTTATGACCGAAGTGCCTTTGAACAGAAGTTCAGCCTGTTCGGCCACATCAGTGCATAGTGTCCTGTCGGGTCTGTACAGCGGTTCTACTGTGGCGGTCTGCTTTGCCTTTGTGAACTTGTACGCCTGAAAGGCTGACGCGTCGCCCGTCTTAGCTAGGAATCGGCGCCAATGCAGTAGTTTCAGCTCTTCCACTTTTTGTTTGAAAGCAAGTTGCCAGGCAAAATAGCACTGTCGTGCTTCGGCAGAGTTGGACAGGATCATCCACCTGCGAGCTCTGTTGCGGTTGGTTACTAGTGGACCCAGGATGTGGGGTATCCACCATGAGTTTGCTCTGGGTTTGCCTCGCCCGGAGGTTTTGCCCTGATTCAAGTGGCAATTCTGAATGCCCGAGGTTAAATGTGTCACCGCCTCATCAATGGTCGGGGCAGGGTCTGAGGAGTGAGGGAGAGGGAGGGAGTTGATGACCTGTTTCAGATCCTCATTGAATTTCTTCTTGTCAAGCTTTTCCGGTGTCATGCCCCTTATATCCTGGGGCTGACAGGTTATCTCGTTAAGCAAGATAGAGAGGAGGATCGGTTGGTGATCAGATGCATGATTATTCAACTGGACGTTGCAGTGTTGCACGCGTTGTCGGCAGCAGGCATTGATCCAACATAGGTCAATGGTGGTTTGGGCGCCTCTCGGGCTCAGGAAAGTGGGTATGCCAGCTGGCGATGCGAGTAAGAAGCCTTTCTGTCCGCAGAGCTTGATCAAGTCTTTGGAGGCTGAGTGGGTGTGGTGGTAGTTAGGGGGGTTCCAGCGTGGGTGATGGAGGTTAGAGTCCATCATAAGGATGGTGGGAATGTTCCGGCTGTTGTTAGCAGCCAGCCAGTCTTTTAGTATGGGAATAGCAGGGAAAGTTGTCGGGGGGTTATAGATTGAGAGAATGTGAAAGTGCAGGGGTTTCTTAGTGTGGGTGGTGATAGAGATCGCCGTGAGGAATTTGGAATTTTCTGGGAGTCTGTGGAAGTGGTGGCTGGGTATGGATTTGTTGAGGTATATGCAACATCTTGGGCGGTGGTCACTAGAGGTGGGTTGGTCTACGGGTGAGATGCGATACCAGTTTGGGTGAGAGGGTGGGAGGTGGTCGATGGGGTTTGTCCATGGTTCTTGGAGTAGAAGAGCAAGGGAGGAAGTTTCGCAGTGCAGTACACTGAGTGTGGAATCTTTTCTGTTGTGGCAGTTGAGTTGTAGAAGGGAGAAGGAGGATGGGGAGTGCTCTTCAGAGCGTGATGGAAAGGACCTAGTGAAATGTACAGTGTATGGGTCACCGTGGCAGAGGATTGAAATTTCTCGTGACGGGTCCTAAAAGCTTTGCTTTCAGCAGTTCTACTGGCATCCACATCTGCACAGAACATTAGCGCACAATAGTAGTGTATTTGTCTTCAGAATCAGAATCAAGACACGTCTTCTTCCTCAAATCGCTGACAAACCAGGTACGCTCAACTTGCATTTTCTCTTGCGTCTGCCCACGCTTGGTTTACAGCAATGAATTTTTGATTGCTGAATTTTTGATTTATTTATTTTTTGGAATAGGATAATGGCTAACATTCTGGACCTTCCAAGGGAAATCTTCGAGCGTATCTTCATGCATCTCATCACAACAGATTGGGAATGGGGTCACGAACTCAATCGAGCTGACTGCATTGCGTATGTAGCATGTCACTTGAGGCAGGTTTGCCGACGATGGGCAGACTGGTTATACGAGTCTCATCTGTACCGCACATTAACATTCAGCTCGGCTTCGACAGCGATTGCTTTCGCAAATCACATTCGCGAGCGCTCAAAACTTCTTCCCCGGGCCAAGTGCCAATACTTGGAGATCAACCACTTCTGGCCTTGGAAGCATCTACCTGGCCACGCCTATAATTACAATGAGATCACTTCGGAGGCTTTGGAAGTGTTGATCGACCTATTTTCCGATACGATCGTCACGCTGGATCTCAAATTTATTGAATTTTTTACGCTTCCTAGTGAGACCATTGAAGCCATTGGAAGGATTAAGAATCTACGCAATCTTACCTTCGAACCCTCACGATATCCATCTGGAATGGACGAGTTCCCTCCTAGCGATCCTGATGATTTTAACACCTTGTTAATGGTAACTCGAGGATTGAAGTCACTTCGCCTGGGACTTCCTGTTTCTCTGCGACCCGAATCAGGTCTTCCGCCAATCACTTATCTGGACTTGAACTTTCAATTTGAACACATAGATTGCATCATTAGCCTCTCAATTGCACTCAAACCCCATCTGAAAGCACTCTCCCTTCGGAATTACAGCACTATTTTCGATGCACAACCACTTCTACCGATGTATGAAAACCTGAGAGAAACATTGGAAGGACTTTCTGTGTCGGAATCCTGCTTCTTGGAACCCATTCTCGACTTCAACTTCCCTAAATTACAAGTGGTGTCGGTTCATGACTGGAGGGGTTCAATCGCCAATTGGCTGTCTCAAGACTTATTCTTATACGCTCCAATCCAGGCCCTTGCTATTAGTTCAAGATCAGTCAAGGGGCTTCAGCAGGCTTTTCCTGCGCACCCATTAGCGAACCTACCCAAACTGCAACAACTGGTCATTATGAATACTCGCTCTAGTTTTTCACCAACACCAAGTTATCTCAGTGTCTCTAAATCACACCGTGTCGAATGTACCTATCTTGATCATGGCGAAATGTCCCTAATAATGGTAAATATCTTCTACAATATTCCACATTCTACAATCTGTCAAAAGTTTTATATGAATACTGCTAACACAGTGCTTCTTTGTACTGGCCAGAAATTGTTAATGCCAACAGACCTCCTCCAAGTCAAAAAACCCCGCCACTCTCCTCTTAGTTTCATTCCAGCAACATAGACCATATTCCTCAACCACATGTATCTTGAAAACTCAAAACAGTCCAACATAGACCATGTTCCTCAACCACATGTATCCTGAAAACTGAAATAAGATACTCATGGCATGCTTGATAGTTCAACATCAAAAACACTTCTTAAGATTGCAGGTGATCCAAATAGGACTCCTCTGCTGCCCTTGGATGAGGATGGAAAGTCTCAGGAAGCATGTGAGGCACAGAGAGGATGGCTTGAAGGGATGCTTCTAAGAAAATTGATCTTCTTGGTTTGTAAAATTCAACCATTCAACAAAAGAAAAATTGGTATTTTTGGGCCTGAGATTTCATCAGGATCCACATCTCCCAACAAGCCTTACAGGTATGCTTATCTGTGAGCCAAAGACTAGGAGACTTTATCTGTGACAAGCTAGTTTTGGGCCTGAAGTTCTTCTGGGTTAACATGCCTGGGAAAGAAGCAAAAAAAAAGTGTTCAAAAATGGACAGCAACATTGTAGACATAATTGTGGGGGCATCCAACAATGTCAAACTATGTCTACCTCCAAGGGGTGTCTGACACTAGCTTGCTCAGCCTCTCCATCCATCACACAAAGTGCGGGAGAGGCTTGTGTGCCCAAGACAAAGACACCTCCTTGTTGCAATCATGAGTTTTGGCGTTTTTACTGTGCCAAACAGTCTAGAAAAATAGATGTTTGGGATTGATGTCAACTTTCAAGATCAAAGATAGCTGAGTGTGCTCAAGATGCACAAAGAAACTATCCAAAATCTGTGGAGCTATGCACATGCCAGGGAATTTTGTAATGAGTGATGAGGTTCATCTGGGATGTGTGTTTTCTGATTGTGAATCGTAGTTCTCAAGCTTTGGAGCTCAACTTGTTTTTGTTTTTGGAATTTTCAATATTTCATGTTTTTTTTTTTTTTTAATCTTACTCATCCAAATTCTAGGAAATATCAAGCCAATCCACCCCCAGACCATTGGAGATTAAGGATGCAAGTGGGCCGGGTTTGGGTCAAAAAACGGTGACCAAACCCGCCCTGCCAAATCCTTGGGGCGGGGCAGGTTGGGGCAAAAATTGTAAAATGTTGACCAAACCCGGCCCAAATACACAGTGCCTCGGGTTGGGTTGGGTTGGGTCTTGGGTCGGGTCCGGGTCAACCCAGCAAATAATCACTTTCTTTTTAAATTTCGTCAATCTCAAGCCGACCCAAATGCAATCCGTGCTGACCATACCCGCCCCACCAACCCGTCAGGTCAATTTCCAATCCTAGCCTGCCCGAACCTGCCCCGTGACCCGCCAGGTTGCGGGTACCCAGCGGGTCGACCCAACCCACTTGCATCCTGATTGGAGATACCCTTACATGGTTTATGCTTACATCCAAGTAATCTCCCAGCAAACCAAGGAGAATGGTCAATGGAATTTGATTTTTTACGTAATTTTCACATGGCAGGTTGTGCTTACATTGGTGTATGCTTACATCAAGGGGTCACTGTATATGGGTCTGTGTTTGATTTGGTACTATGTACTCCAGTCACAAGCTAATACTCTTTGTGGATAATCAACTTTTCTTGTTTGATCAAGAACACAAAGTTAAATAAATTGATGAATTGCTTGAAATTACTTGAAATTTGTTAATTCAATCAATCAACCCTTACCTCTTTTCTGATCTCTTTCTCTCTCTTTTTCTTTTTAAGTCATCTTAATAAACATGCTACAACATATGTATAGGTAATTGGAGGACTTCCCATCAACATCTTCAGGTCTCCCAGCGTCGGTTTAGAGCCTTGAAATTCAAGTTTCTCTGCAAGAATTAAGAGTTTTTGGGTCTAGATCGACTTCTGCAAGGGTCCCAGATCCAACAGGAAGTCCTCCATTAAATACTTCAAAAAAATGGTTGCTTTGAGATCATTAATATTCATTATTATTCATCTTTCTCTGCCAACCCAAAAGGAAAACCCCCAAACCAAAAAACCATAGGAAAAAAAAACCAAAAGGGGACAAAAATTTACCAAACTTATTCTTTTCTTACTCTTCCTTCAATCCTCCTCCAAAGAAAAAAAAAATAACATACAAGAAAACAAAAATTAGATGATGATGATGAAGACAGATCCAAGAAGTAAAAATGATATAAACAGGGGGGGGATATAATCTATATTTCAAAAACAGTCATGTTGATGATAATAGGCCTGCCAAGGTAATATTGTGAGTTACAAAAGGGAGGTTGAGAGTTTTGTTTTGAGGATTGATTTTAGATCCATTCTTCTGTCAAGAATTCTTTAGAAGCAATCTACAAACCCCCACCATAGAAAAGCCGAAGAAGGACCCAAAGATAAATCAATAAACTGATGACCATATATATAAACATAAGAAAAAAAAAAAGAAAGAAAGGTAGTGATAGAAGAACAGAACAACACGATACCTCATAGACCATTTTAGACCGAATATATTCCATATTTTCTTGACAAAAGTCGAACTGAGTTTCGCGTTCTTTAGCAGGAGGCCGAGAATCAAGATCGGATTCATTGTTAATATTATTGGAGGTCGCTGTTGTTGACGAAGAATTGGTCCAATCTCGACTCAGACAATCCATGAATTGACAGACAAAAACCCCGCAATCAAATGAATTGTTTTGTTGTGGTATATCCTGTTAAAGCATTGGGAAAGGATAAAGATGAGCTGTCTCGTTTTTTCTTTTGTCTTTCTTTGTGCAAGATAGTAAAGAAGAGATTGGTTGTTACTTAACTTGGTAAAAACAATCTGGCCAAGCACTTATATCCAACACAATATCCTTTTTAATACGAGCTTCATTGACGATATAATCCCTCAAAGTCTTCATAACCCAAAACCAACACCAAAATGAAAGAAATGAAGTTGAAGAAAGTCAACCAATTTGAATCACAATAAGAAAGTAGAAGAAGAAAGAAAGAAAGAAGAAAAGGAACTGAACTGCAAGGACGGATTGGTTTCGGTTACCCATACTATCGAAATACTCGAACCGCTTACAGCGGAGATTTATAGCTGCACAAGTCCAATGAGCATTACTGATATTAATCGGAAAGATGATCACATCTTTCTTCAGTAAATCAACCTACATAATATTCCACATTCCACAAAAAGATCAGCTTCCAAGAAAAAAAAGGACAGTATTGAATAGGAAAAAGTGGAAAGGTAACCTTTTTCGACCATCGTTTCACACCATCGTATCCTGCCTTATCGTATTTAGCCATGAAGAAACTCGAGAAACAGTACGCCTTAACAAATTTCTCATTTGGAGGAAAATTCTGAGGTTGGGTTTCGAATTCGGAGGATCGATTGTTGATCATCACGCTATAGAACGTCACGATCTCATCGTTGATCCATTGTCGAGGCCGCAGTTTTCGGATATCGTGGGCCTCGCAATATGCGCCTGGCATGTCTGATATCTTGCCTGGCTGTTGTAGAATTTTTTGTACCTTTTTTTTTAAAAATGACAGATAAAATCATATTTATCTTAATTATTATTGATAGCAGATGATAGATAAGTGAGAGAGAAAGAGATCCGCGTACGAATGCGAGTTTTTCGTCTTCCAAGCTCGTCCTCCATTTCCGTCTCTTAGGTTTCTTAGACTGTCCAAACGTATCATCCAAGAACTTTTGCCGTTTCTGAATCGATTCGTAGGAGGGTAGAGTAGGTTCTGGAGGCCGTGGTCTAAGCCCACAAACACATATATATATAGAGAGAGAGATAGAAAACAAGGATTGACGCGTCAATATATATGAATCCAATCATGACTTTTTGGGAAAAAAAAAAAACTGATTTTAAGAAAAAAAACAACTCGCGTTTCTAGAGTCGCATTTCGTGTCCTAAGGAGACTGTTTGGAAAGTCGGACCATAAGCTGGTGCGGGTGCTGGGCGTCGGTTGTTGTTGATGATATTGGAAAGATACGAACTGTGTTGACAGACCCAAATGATCAGAAGAATTAGTTTCGTCGTCATCTTTTCTCTTGTATTTTTTGTTGTTGTTGTCTTGTCCTCACTCACAGGTTGGTTTCGTTGTCGAGCATATTGGAATCGAGTTTGATTATCTTGATCTACATAAATATACAACATATTCACGAAATAAATCAAACATATAAATATTTGGATTATTCAATTAGATATATATATATGTGTGTGTGTGTAAGATATGTGGCGTATAGCGTACCATTGACTTGTTGGATATGATCCTGATAGGCTTCAAAAGATTTGATTGTGGCAGTCTCTACAAAAAAAAGCATTAGTAATGATAATGATACGTAAAAAGAGAGGAAGAGAGAGGAAAGAGACCTTGATTGAAGATAGACATGACTTGAGCAATCGCAAGAGAATGATTATGAGGCGGGCGGACAAGGGCCAGCTGCTGATTAGTGATGGTAGTGGCAGAAGGCTTTGCAAGGGCGACCAGGGTTTGGAGTTTCTTGGCGACGATTTTAGTTTTATCTTGGGTGCGTAAGAGGGAGGTTGTCTTGCGCTGATGGATCATAGAGAGTGAGGATGAGAAGGGATAGTTGAGTGGTGGTAATTTGAATTTCTCTTTTTTGGATTCGGTCTGCATCTTCTTGTTATTTTTGGGTGTGTTATGTTTGCAAGATGATGGTGATGATGGTGATGAGTTGGATGGGATTGGGCTTGTTGTTGTTTCTGTTGTTTCTGTTGTTGATTCAGTAGCAGTAGTTGTAGTGGTAGTGATCATAGCCTTGTTGCTGTAGATCGATGAAGTCCTCCTCCTGAGTTTCTTGTTCTTGTTGAGACTGTTCTGAGTGATCGACTTTGTTCTTTTGTTCCTCGATGGTTGTTGCTGTTGTTGTTCTTGTGAGTATTGTTGTAAGTTGAGCATTGTTGAGTTTGGTATTTTTTTGTAGTTGGTGGAGAGTGGTCAACAGGAAGAACTCATGGAGAATTTGGTCGGGGGTGAATGACAACCGCGAACTTGTCCCGCCGACTCGGTCGACTCGGACGGACACTGAACTGCCCAGCCCCGGCCCCGGGGACGAACCACCGAGGTTGAACACGAGTCTACCCCCGAAGAGCGAACTGCTCCTTCGAAGAGACTTGGGCCGAAACAAAACACACCAGCACTTCAAGTTGCAGTACAGCTGAAGAAAAAAGATAAAAGAAAAAGATGCCAAGAAACTGTCACATCATTCCCTGATAAGAATTAAACTACATAAACAACAATAATAACAACAATGATGTATGATGTGATGATGACTCCAATGATAATAATAATAATAAGTTAGAAAAAACAATTGAGAAGAAAAAGAAGACCTAAGAATGATGATGATGAAGGGGAAAAAAAATACAAGATGAAAACAGAGAAGAAGAAGAAAGACTACTGAAAGAGGACGAAGAATTTGTGACGAAGAGCATTAGCGGCGGTGATGCGTTTAGTGCAATCGAGCTCGAGGGTGCGTTTGAGCAGATCGACGAGATACCAGAGTTCGGAGCGAAGATACCAGGGTTCCGAGTAAGGATTAAGGTCCTGGCCGAGCGTTTCGACCGACGAACTCAGTTCACGATGGGCCTGGAAGATCGTACTCGTCAGTCGATCCACCACACTCTCCGAAGTCATCGTCGTCCCTCCCGTTCCGGTGCTTATCTTGTTGATCATCAATTGCTCTTCCCCACTCGTTCGTAATCGCTCTTCTTCATATAACGTCGGGTTGAGCGTTCGGATTAAGGTGTGTAATGAGCTGAATCGGGGCGCATTCACTTCGGGTATGTTACTGATCACCGTTCGATCTACATAAACATCATCACATTCATTCATTCAATCTTCTTCTTCTTCTTGCTTTGCCCCTAGATCAACAACAAGAAGAGCGATACGTAACTGTGATGGATCGCGACGGTCTCTAATTTACTTCGGCCAAATATAGTCGCGATTTCCATCAATGCATCCACATCATCGTTCGAATTAAAGAACGGAAATCGACGGGTAAGGAAGCAAAGCAATGTCACCCCGACCGACCAAATATCAATAGCTATAAAAAAAGCCAAACAACAAAAAATCAAAATCAACTTGTTTCTTAAGAAAAGGTAAATAGAGATGAATGGAATGAGAGAAAAAAAAAAAGACCGACCGCCGGTTTGGTCGGGACATTTGAAGAGCACTTCAGGAGCTCTAAAGCCACGAGTACCAGCGCGATTAGCCTTCGCAGTAGGGCGTTGATCGTCGCGTTTAAAGCCGACCCGATCCAGGGGGGGTACGTCATTAGGCGATTTGCGGGGCCCATAACCCGCGCCCCAAGGGCCGCCGACTTTAGAGACGGGTCTCCAAGCCTCATACCATTCGAAGGAAGCCTCGTTACCCAACTCGGCTTCATCAGGCTCGTTCTCGAACGGCCTTTTCGAGAAGATCTCTTGCCACCCTTTGGTCTCTGTGAGCTCGCCAATATCCTCGATCCCGCGACCCCTGCTTTCCACAAATTTCGCCCGGTATCGCGTCAGCTTCGCCCGCCATTTCCGCCATTGTTCTTGCATCTGATCGTACGTCGGCTGCGGTTGATCCATCAGCCTTCCATGATAATTCTCGTTCTTCGGGTCCGGTAACGAATGTAAACATTTCCCGTGCCAGTCGTTCGGCTCAAATCGTTCGGCTAATCCAAAGTCACATAACACCCCCGTTTGCGAATGGATATCAAATAAGAAATTCGCCGGCTTGATGTCTCGATGGATGATCCCCTTGTGGTGCGTGTCTTTGAGGGCGGAGAATAAACAGTATAGGTATTTGCGGATCATCGAAATCGGCGCTATTCGGTAATAGTCTCGGAAATCTTGGTGTTTTCGGTATGGCATCACCGCTATTACTTGGTCTTCATGTCGAATCGCTTGGATTAAATAGGCTACGTGTTCCGCATCCCTTTTTTTTTAAAAAAAAAAAAAAAGTAGAATGTGAATTAGCTTTTGATTTCAATCATCAAATACTGGATCTTAGCTTACCTCAATTCGGATAATAGTTTGAGCTCATTCATGATTCGATAAGGACTAGAAGTCACGTAAATTCGTTTCAGAGCGACATAGACGTTTCCTTTTTTCTTAGGTTTCAGGGAATGATGATGATCATGCTGAGAATGATGATTAGAAGTAGACGATGAAGAATTAGCTTTATAAGCAGTAGGTAGTTTGCCAGATTCGAGGGCATGTCTTTGAAGAGTTTCGGTGAATTTATTACGAGCCTGGTCACCAGCGGAGGCGTCAAAGGGGTTATCGGAGGCGAAAGGATGATGGGGAGGGTAGAGGTTTTCGAGGGACTCTTTGGTGAAAGCAGGCGGCTGGTTAGATCTCGAGGATTGTGGGTCGCCGATGACCGAGCCTGAGCAGGAGGAGGTGGAGGTGGAAGGATGGAAGCGGGCGTCAGAGGAGACCGTCAGCGGAGCCGGATCAGACGCCGGCTCGTCGGGCGCCCAGAGCGTGTTGTCGTATAGATGGTGGTGCAGGTCGATCGCCTTGTATACCGACGAAAACGTCCCTTCTCCTAGCCTGTCTAGTAGATGGTATGATGTCTTCAAGAGTGGAACTGATTGCTCAAGGTCTTGTAGCTCGAGTGCTATGGCTGCTAGTTCCGCATCCGTTCGATTATCAACCGACTCGTCATCATCATCCTCTTCCTCTTCCTCTTCTTCTTCGTCTTCTTCTTCCTCTTCTTCTTCCTCTTCTTCTTCCTCGTCCTCCTCGACTTCTTCATCGTCATCTTCGTGATCCTCTTCCTCGTGTAAATCTTCCATCTCCTCCTCCTCCTCCTCTTCTTCTTCTTCTTCACATTGCTCTTCTTCTTCTTCTTCATATCCTTCTTGTTCTTGCTCAATTCCATTCTGTTCTTGATGATCGACGATAATTTCTTCTTGATGGTCTTCTTCTTGACCTTCTTCATCGGCTTCCATCAGTTCCTGCTCGTCATCAGAATCTCCAGCATCATGATCACGATCATCTTGGTCGACGAGGTCATCCTCGAGTTCTCCGGTGGCGCCGTTCTGTGTCTCCAGCTGCCCGTGTCCATCGTTGTCGGACGTGATGTAGTGGTTCGCGTAGGTCGCGTCGTATCCGACCACCTCGTCCTCTTCCATCCCTCTCATCCCTTGAGCTTCTCCTTCTTCTCCCTCTTCAGACGTGCCTTGATGGTCCACCGTACAGGTCTCGTCATAGCGCAGGTCATCGTCTTCTTCCATCGGCACCGTATCGTGAGCTTCTTCAGACGTGGGATTCTCCATTCTTCTCAGCGCCTTCTTCTTTCGCTCTTGTTTCCAGTCAATCTGTCTATGGTCGTAGTTGGCAGTCGTTGGTAGTAGTTCTGTGTTTTTACTCGTGGTCAGTGTTTTCTCAGTGAAGTGGAGATCCAAGTTTGTTGCCAAGTGGAGAGCAAAGACAGCCAAAAAATAGTCACAGCTGATTACATAATCCAACCTGCCCCAGCTTACATAATCACCAGTTCTTCAGACTACATATCCCACACTTTTGCTCCACATTTAATGATCCAGTCTCCTTGGGCACTAGACAAGCAACAGCCTCCAAAGGGAAGGCAACAATGGATGACTTCCCGTCAACATCTGGGGGTCTCCCAGAGCTGGTTTAGAGCCTCAAAATTCAAATTTCTCTGCAAGAATCAAGAGTTTTTGGGTCTACATTGACTTCTGTGAGGGCGCCAGATCCAACAGGAAGTCCTCCAATATCAACAACCCTAATTCATTGATTGACAACATTTTGTCCAAAAATAACCTCTTCATTAAAGAGTATGTGATGTAATGACTACCCAAGAATCCAGATCCCTGAATCTCTCTTGTGAAAAAACCTATGAAGTTTCATCCTTTTTTCATGAATACATTTAGGCATGAATTTTACAGTAGCAAGGCTGCAAGAAAAAAAAGTCAAAAGTCAAAGTCTTTGGGTGCCCATTTGCGGAGAAGGGGCATAGCCAATTTGGTGAGGATAAAGAAAGGACCCAGATGAACTTTTTCATCACATTTTTAATTCTTTAAAGGAAGGTTGGCTAGTTATGTTAACTATAGTTTTATTGTAGTGTTAGCTTGTTCTGCTTCACTATGGAAAATTTACTGGGCCTTGCTCAGATACCTCAAAATCCAAAACATCACAATATTTACAAGTCTTTTTGAACAGCAAGAAAGATTGCAGATGCATGAACAATAGGAAGAATCCATGACAGAGACATTCAGACTACAATGATGGAAGGTCAAGTTTCTGTGAGGAACAATCTGGGAAGTTCAAGAAGTGGATCAGGGGAACATTTTACAGGTAAAATAACAACAGTAGAATTTCAATCACAAGCCTCTAAGTATTGACCCTTGGATATTGAATTGCGAATCCAATGTGAGATTCAACAATAAATGAAGCAGAAACAAAAATGGGAGCTCATTCAAGTGGAAATCACACTATGCCAATCAGAAATATAGATTACTAAACAGGTAGGAATAGCTGGAGTCTCAGGCCATCAATCCCAATTTTCTTGAATGGTTAGGTTAAGCACATAAAATCTGTGATGTTTGAATGGAGTGGATATGAATTGTTGGTAAATACTATCAAGATATGTTTCTGAAGCCTGGGTGTGACTTATTTTGTAGACGATGAACCTTCATAAGATTTTTCATGCACAATTTTGTCTTTATCTGAACTTGAATGCACATTATGACTGTTTTTGTTGAATTCTTCTCCAACCTCATTGGTCTCCTTCTTCTCCCCCTTTTTTGGACATCTCTCCACTTTCAAAATTTATTTTTAGAACAAAGAAAAATTAGCTCAAAGTTCTAATCCACAACTTTTGCTCTGCTTTCCACTGAAAATTTCAAATTTTGCATTTTTAAACAAAGCTTACACATTTTATGCAAACATCCTATCCTAGATTCTTTAATCTTTGCTGTGTCATTTGATTTCAAAATTTCCAGTCGATCAAATTTTTTCAATTTTTTCAAGGCAGGGAGGGGGGGGGGATTTCAAAGTTAATTCAGAGGTCAGCATTGACAAATTTCTATCTCTTGATAATTAGCATAGAAATTGAATTTTATCAGAACTCCATGATAATTGCAGCTTACCTTCTTTGTAACTTCCTTCCATCCTCTTGTGCAGGAGATGAATCTGAGTACCAATGGTAGCTTCTTGATCAATTCCTCTTTTTACTAGAGATTTTGTGTATAAAGTTGGATGTGCTGAAGTTCCTTGGTATTTTAAGAGATAGAAAGCAAATACAATTCTTGTAAATAGCATGGCTAGGGTTGGCTTGAGCTGAATTTCCTTGTTTAAAGTAGTAAGGGTAGCAGATGATTATTTATTTTTTCTTTTTTTTTTGGGGGGGGGGGCAAGGTTGAGAAACTCCAGAAAGTCAGTCAATATTTATAATCCCAAGAACTCTTTTGTGTGGCAAAAACTCAAGTACAGATGTGGGGAGACTGTTGCTTGGTTTTTCTCAAAACCAGTATCCTATACCCAACTTCATTGTATCTTTTTGACAAGACATGTGTCATTCTTTTTTCTTTCTCAAAATGTTCAAACCTTATATAAACATCTGAAGTATGCTAGTCTAAAAAACTTCATAAAAAAGTTAAACAACATATCTTCAGCCAGTGTCATATTCATATTCTTTGGAATGACAAAACATACAGTTTTGAAACAGACACAATGCCAAGTCAATTGAAGGTAAAATTTACTGCTGAAGACTCATATACAAATTCACAAAATTGTGTTCCATAACACTCCCTCAGTTCCAGGTATGGTTTGTTGAAGTGGCTGTCATAAGCTTACGTTATTCTTTCAGTCAATGGCGTACCAGCTACGCTAAATTAAGCACAGTCAAAATACACTATCTTTTAACGTAGCATTATCAGAATTCCACAAATCTGTGCTAACGCTACACCCACAGGGCACAAAAATGCGCTGGCATTTAGGGGTTTCATGTTGTACCAAAACTGTTTCTGATGTGAAACAATGTTTGCTTGATTATTTATAACATTTTTTAAGTTATCATGGGATCTCACTTCTAAAGAGGAGCTTCTCATCAAACATTATTGCTTCCCAATGCATCAGCAAAGTCCGGTTTTAGCAAGGTTTGACTAATAAATTCAACATCAGAAGTACATGAACTGCCCTATTTAGTGTAGATTTAGCACAGATTTGTGGAATCATGCTAATGCTATGTGCCCTCTATGCGGTGCTAGAGCTCTTGTAGCTTTTTTGCCACTAAAGGTGCTCTACCATAGTGTAAAACAGCATGGCGGTGCGCTAACACTACACAAAGAAAATATCCACTGTTAGCGTAGAGTAGCAATGGTAGTGTTGCGCTTACACTACACAAGAAAGGGCAACTATTAGCACCACTTGGCACTATGCTAATGCTAATTGCCCCTGTAGTGTAGTTTAGCATAGTGGCCCACCACTGTTTCAATGCAAATATGAGTCAAGATAACAATTGAGAGCATCCACATTGGTTGAGTCAATTAGTCAGGGATTAGGGAGCATGCTAATTTGAGAATTAGCAAGACATAAATTTGATACCCTCTAGGTCCAGATCTAGCCCTGGAGCTAGTTGGATCTAATATCTAATCTTGACCAGAGTGGTTGGGGGGGGGTAGATTAGGCAGCTAACCCTGCCTAATCTACACACCACTGCAGATGCTCTTATGAAGTATGAGTACTTGAAAATTGTAGATGTCAACCTAAAAGTGTGAAAAGCACTTCAGAGCTGTGAAGATGCCCATAGAGCTAGGCAGGCCCTTCATGGGGCCCTCCAACTCTTCAAGGGTGTTGCGGGGCACAGGGGTCGCTGGGACTGAAGTTCACAGACGGATGTCTTGTGACACTGGGAGCTGACAAGATAATGAGTGGTTTGTATTCAGTGCAGAAAGAACTCATGGATCTGAGATCAGGTTGACTATATACAAAGGCCACATGCATAACTATAGTGGGAAGCATACTGTATTGAATATAGGCATGTCCACAATCCCAACACACCCCCTTGCTGACTACTATAGTTTTCCTAAAATAAATGAGATAAAAAAATTACCACTAATGTGAGACAGAACTAGTGGAGAAAAAAAATCTCAACTGGGGACAGAAAGGAAAATAGAATCAGGCCAGAGATCCAGAGGTAGTAAGGGACAGGGAAACACCACGACAGTGAATAAATATCCAAAAATCAAACACATTCGTGGAATTGGCCATCGACTTGCACCGGAGTTGTGTTCGTCACGAATAGGAATTTTGTCTTGAGTTCGTCCTTTCTAGCCCCAAACAACGTCACAGCCATCATTGTCGTAGCTGTCTTCGTCGTCCTCTTCTCCTTCAGAGTAGTTGCCAAGAGTAGCGAAAGAGACCACTCCAGCGCGAGCTTCAGTCGAGGACGCTTGAGTTCCGGATTTCTTCTTTATGGACGGATTAGGGCATTTGGACGAGTGATGGCCCTTCTGGCCGCAGTTCCAACATCCAAGCTTTGGCTTTGCCTTTGCCGCAGACGCTGAGGCATTGTAGTGGTCGGTTGAGACCTGAGTCGAAACCTCGTGCGATTCCAGAGCCCCAATAGCATCGTCCAACGAGACCTCGTTGGGAGAGTAGACTAAGTGGTCCCGAATAGGCTTCCACGAGTCGTCAAGTCCCCGGAGTAAACGATCACAGACTTGTTGATCATGAGGGGTCAGCTTTACACTCGTGAGATCGGAAGCCGCCATTCGTATACGAGCAATCCACTTGGCAATCGGAACGTTGGGATCGTGTTTAGCGGTCCAAAATGCATCTTCAAGCATGAGTCGGCGAGCCCGAGTATTCTTCTCATATGCTTCGCATATTTGATCGTACAACTTGCTAGCCGGCTTGATGTCGCGGTAACGAATGGATAAGTCAACGGACAGGGTGAGCTTGATCGTTGATCGAGCGACATCCAATAGGGTGTCCCAGTCAGTGCGGAAATCTTCAGGGTTGTACCCCTTTTTGGTATGGACTATTGGTTTAGCGTCAATCGCTTCGGCTTTTGGGCGGGGAACTTTGCCCTGGACGATGTCGAGCACCCCCTGGATTGCAAGGACATCTTCGGTCCGAGAACGCCACGCCGGGAAGACTACCGAGTTTCCGTCAAGTTGCGGAACCGAAGGAATTAGAGGAGAGGGGTTTTGCGTTAACCGATATGGCATGTTGAGCAGGTTGAGTATCGAAACGGAAACGAGAAGATTTCTTAAGTTGAGACGTTGAAGAATTGTATGTTCGAGTTTGAGACGCCGATAACTGGAATGGAGATATGTGGAGCTAGAGCAACATCTAACTTAACTAGTCCCTCCTTATAGAGGGGGGACGCCGTCCCGCAGGGACCCTCCGAAGGAGGGACTTATGCGCCAAGTCGACCTCGCGGGCTGAGGGCATTAGGAAATTTGGCAGGCAAACTTTCAAAATGCCTCTCACACATTCCTCTACGATGGAATTTTAATATCGTTTTCACTTTCGTAACCGCCTAGCCGGTCTCTACATTTATAGCTACTCCTAGGGTGCCCAACCCATCAGCTTTTCAAGCAATCGATGGGTCCAAGTCGTTGTGCTCATGGAATATGGATTATGGATTCAGGTGAATTTCCAGCGTCTTCGACGCTAGCGAGCTGTACTTGAATGAAACCCGATATGATGTAGAATCAATTGGAGGAACCCATGACTCCTTAAGACATAGTAACTTTACCCCATGATTCCTATAACGTGTTATGAGTGGATGACAGTCCATATCACTCGAGAAAAGATGTTGGTCAGGATTCTAGAATTTGAGAGACCCAACGTGAATGACCATCCGATTCGATCAAGACATCTATCAGGATCAGCTATGAACTCAACCGAAGAAACCACTCCCGCCGGCAGGGCTCCTCGGGTGTCGATGAATGAGAAACTTGACAAGATTTGCGCCTTGATAGAAGAGTTGAACCTCACACCGAAGTCTTTCTTGGTAGCTTTCCTTGAGCAGGACCAATACAGCATGGCCTACAGACGACGATTATGGGGCACTGACCAAGGTTGGGACTCAACAGAGAATCTGTTGCTCACAATCCGAAAACTCGCTTGCTCTCACCTAGATGGCCGTGGCCATTGGGAACGGTTCATCTTGATGCAGGTGAGGTTGACAAATTACCTGGTATTTTCACTGTATGGAAAGTGCTGAGCTTGGTCTTGTTTGAACAGGCAATCAATATTGTTTCTGCACAAAAGCCAGTCAGCGGGCTGGCACCAAAAGGCTCATATCACACATCGGCAACCTTGTCTGATGTGTTCTTCACCACGGAAGAACGAGAGGCTCGCAATGATTTGCTCACGGATCGGATGCCTTTTCTCTATCAACTACTCTGCGCAAAGATTCAAGGCGATCGGCCCTATACAACCACTGGCGGGGCCGCAGATTCTCCGGCGGATCCTGTTGAGGACAATTCAGATGACGAAGGGGTAGATGATCCCTCGGACGGGCTGGTTGACTATGATGGGTCGGTCTTGAAGAAGAGCAACGAGAGAGGGATCAGACGGGCTAATTGGGTGAAGACGGTTAGTCCAATCTTGAGAATTCTTATGTCTACCCCTTACTGACCTGCCCTTCATGGGTGATCTATCTCCCAGATGGCCCGCACCATATGTGCCATGGTGGCATTTGGAGGGAATCGCCGGCATAATGGCTTTCAGCTGAGCAATGCGCTGCTGTTCTTGGCAGGGGGGGTGACCGAGCGTGTAAGTGCTTACCTCAATTACATAGGCATCAGCTCCTCTTGGAGGACTGCTCATGCGGCCCTGAGGAGTCTGGGGTCAGAGGCGAAATCAAAACTTGAAGCAATCTACAAGATGGGTGATTCCCCGTTGGTGGCGCCGCTATTATGCTACGATAATCTCGATTTTCAGGAGAAGGTACACATGAAATCCATTGGCCATTCTAGCAAGATGTTTCATGGGACCTGGGGATATGTCCACACAATTCCCCGCTCACTCCAATCACAGCTGGATCCAGCCGAACTCACTGTTGAGGCTTTGAACAAGGCCTTACACATCGGGAAAGATTTGAAAATTCGGCCCGACATGTTTACCCCAACGGCGGAGAGTACAATTCACTTCGAGACAACAATCAAATCCCAGATCACTCGGGTGATCCTGAAGTACTTTGCCACCCCCACCGATAAGAGGGTAGACCTACTGGTGAAGCCTCTGGAGGTCAATCCTATTGCGCCGGATGATCCCAACATCACAATGCTCAAACTAATGGTTGCGTCGGACAACTCGGCCCTGGGCGTTGGCGAGGTCTTCACAGGTGTCATCCAGCAGAGTGGGCTCACGCCGGCTGAATTCCACTCCCGATTACAGATTGTTGAGGGTGACCTGGGGTCTTGTAACATTTTTGATAGCCTTCGCAAGCAGAGGACCCCAGCTTTGGGCAATCACAACAGTCTTGATAATATCCTGCCCATCCCCGGCGCAGCTCACACACTATGGAACCTGTCCCAAGCAATTTATCTGGCTCATTGGGGGAATGAGAAACTAGCCCGGGACACTGGCGCATGGAGGACGCTTCACGCACTGGGGATACCAGCAGAAAAGCCAGTGACCAAAAAGGATTTCAACCTCATGCTGTGTCACATTGAAAAGATTCACGAGGCCACATTGTTGTACTGTGTGCTGTAAGTATGCAATATGCTTGTGGTCTCAAATTGCTAATGTTGCTGACTTCACGTGTGTTCATGTATGTTTTTTCTAGACTGGTTGCAAACCGTGCTCATGAGCCATGGTCTGGCAAACGGCTAAAGGTTTCTACAGAGAGCATTCATGATTGGGTTGAGCTCACTTTTGACCGCTTTTGCTCAGGCGCCGCGCTGCAGACAGAGCTAGCATCCAACTACTCAGGGCACAAGAATTTATTACTCCGCATCCGAGACTTTGGGACAATAGTGGAGGCCAATCGAGCCATGAAAGACGGAGATTACGGCCGGCTGATGTTCATGTGGCAACGCTGGGCAGTGATGAGCCAGGGGATTTGTCAGCCTACGTGATGCCAAGATAGAATATCTTCTAGCTACACGTGGTGCAAGAACAAGCAAAAAGCTTATGGGCTTTTGGTTTTAAATCCAAAGGAATAAATTCCAAAAGAATAGAGGATTTATGGCGTGATTTATAAGAAAAAGTGGCCAATTTATATTAATAAAATTAATATAAATAAAACCAGAGGGGCCTGATAAATCAGGGGTGGTTTAATCCCTCTAAGGTATCGTGCAAAAGCAGAGGATTTAGGTACCTGGAACACTGGGGCCTGTAAACAGGGGTGGTTTAAATCCCAGGAGAGAATTTTTGGGGGAAAATCTTCAAGAAAGGGTTATTACTTACTAGTAATAATCCAAAAGGGGTCTTGAGGATCTTCTTAGTAGAAACTGGACAGTTGGGAGCGCTCAGAAAGGTTGATTTTGGGTGCTGGGTGATAACTGGGGAGTTTCTTGAGGTTTCTTGAGGCTTAATAACAGCAAAAATAGTAATAACTAGGCTAATTACAAGTGTAGGGGACTTGTAAATGGTAAGTATGTTTCTATATATTATTGTAAAGCTGGGGGATCATTATTTGGGCGGTCAGAAGGCCCTTTAAGTACCTGTGGAAGGCCTCAGGGGTTGCCCAGGGGAGCTTAGTAGGACTTGGGGGCGCTTTTTGGCCCATTTTGGCCCACATGGTGATGTAACCAGGGCTGGAACCTTGGGGATAATGTTCCAGAAGCTCCAAGGGGTCCTGCACGAAATTATTACAGCCAAGAATGTCCCATGGGGACCTGTAGATAGGGGCTGCTCTGTTACGTGGAGCAGGTTCCTTGGAAATGGGCCACAGAATATTCCAGAGGTGTCTTCTGAGGCTTGCTACACGTGTTACCCATTGTAATATGGTTACTGTAGTATTTTCATGGATATTCTAGCTTGTTCACATTCTTATTACACGTGTGGGGGCTTTGTTGTCACGTGCAATGGGGATTCTGGGGCTTTTGTGGCCCAATCCTTGGATACTGGTGCGCAGCATGACTACGTGGCGCGTGGGCTTGGAGACAGGACTCCACACAGCTCTATCTTCTAAACCGTGCACAATACTCCAATTCTGAGACTGGATTTGGAGTATATGCATTATGCATTATGCAGAGGAGTCACAGTACCCGTGATATGGGGGTACCTGTTAATTATTCAAGCATGTATTACAGGGTGAAGGAGTTATAATTTGGGGTACCTTTGGCTGAGGTACCCTAGGTTAAATTGTATGCTGATTCAGAATCTGCAATAATATTTAAGGTTTTGTTTATACTTTTTAAGTTATTCATTTATTTTTATGTATTTTTTATCTTATTTACATAAGTAATATTGTTTCTTTTACTTATGTAATATTTTTACTTTATACTTAGATTTTTTATGTAATTTATTATTTTATTTGCTATGACAGGTTGTCTCTGCCATAGTAGCAAGCTGACATTCCCTACCCCTAAGATGAGTTTACTCATAAAAAAAAGAAATAGTAGATCAAGAGGGATAGAGAAAAAATTGTGTCACTCCTTAGGATGTTCTTTTGGAAGCTCTATAATTCCTCAAATGTATAGCTCCATCCGGGATATTATTCTCAGGTAGCCATTCATCTTTGTCTGCTGACTGGTTCTTATACCTTATCAGGTAAAGTCTGGTATCTTTTCCCTGTACTCTCTCTTTCTTATCCTTGAGTATCTTATGAACCTTAAGTTTCTCAGTAGGAGGAGTTTCTAAGACTGGTACAGGTTCTGGAGCTACAGGAGTATCTGCTGTTCTTTGTGTGTAAGGTTTAACAAGACTTACTGGAAAAACAGGGTGTTTTCTAGATAACTCTTCACTCAATATAACTTCTACAGCATTTTTCCCGTGTAGTTGTTTGATAGTAAAGGGGCCAACAAATGAAGGTTTGAGTTTCTTGTTCCCACCAAGGTTATTAAAATTTACGGTAGAAAGAAGTACTTTATCTCCAATTTTGAATTCCGGTTCTTTGTGACTCTTATCCCATCTATTCTTATTATACTCTACGGCATCTTCAACACATTTTTTGGCATGTAAATTTGTGGAATCTAACATTTTCTTGAAATCTAGTGCTGTAGGGTGTACATGAGGTAATTTGTCATTGATGGTATCTTTGGGCATGCGTGGGATCCATCCTCTTTCAAGTATATAGGGTGCTTCTTTGGTTGAGGAATGTATGCTACTATTATAAGCTATTTCCAAGGCCGGTAGTAAGCTTACCCAGTCATGAGTATATCCATCATGATTTTTGAACTCAAATCCAAATGAACAGAATCTTCTGAGCATGTCTTCTAGAGTTTGTATCATCCTCTCAGCCAAGCCATCAGTCTGTGGGTGATAAGCTGTGGAGAAAGCTAATTTTGTTCCCAACATATCATGTAAGTTTCTCCAGAATTCAGACGTGAATTTGGGGTCTCTGTCACTAATGATTATTTTGGGAATGCCCACGTCAGCCATTAGTCTATTCCAGAATAACATAGCTACTTCCATTGCTGTGTCATCTTTATGATTAGGAATAAATTTTGCCCTTTTGGAAAATCTATCAACTATGACTAGTACTGAGTTGTAGGAGTAGGATCCTCCAGGGGGTAATCCGGTAACAAAGTCCATGTTAATGATTTCCCATTTGTCCGTGGGTTCAGCAATTTTCTGAAGTAGGCCAAATCTCTTGCCTGTCTGTTTGTTTGCTTTCTGACAGGTGTCACATGACTTAATGTACTCATGTACTTGTGTTTTCCAGTCAATCCACCAGGCAGTTTGTTTAACTCTTTCTAATGTTCTTTCTTCTGAAAAGTGGCCACAATTTACATTATCATGACATTCCTGTAGAATGTTTTTTATTTGTCCTTCATCACATAAGACAAGTACACTTGAGTGTTTGTGCCTGTAATACAACAAACCATCAAATAACGTGAATTTGCCTAATTTATAATGTTTGGACAGAACAGGTGGTAAACTAGCTGCTAGTTCCGGGGGACTACTGTCATTTCTCAATATTTCTACCAATTTTAGTAATTCACTATTTTGGTCATAACTTCTCTGAACTAATTCATAAAAAGCATTTTCCATATCACATACGTGAATTCCCAAAATAGGAAATATGTCTTCGTCCTCAGGATCATATGCGGGGTTATCAGGGGTATTAGGGAGTGCCCATCTACTTAATCCATCAGCATTAATGTGTTTCTTGCCAGCTTTATGGATTATAGTCATATGCCCTCTATACTGCTGAATAGCAATTTCCCATCTTAACATGTGTCTGTTGGGAGTTTTCATATTCATTAGAGTTTTAACTGCTGTACAATCAGTGATAACTACAAAGTTAGAACCTTCCAAGTAATAATGTAACTTGTCCAGAGCCCATACCAAAGCTAAGCATTCCATTTGGCTGGCTCCATATTTCCTCTCAGATTCTTTAATTTGTCTGGATATGAAGAGAACTGGTTTTTCCATGGGTTTGTCATCTACAATAAATTCTTGATGAAGAGCTGCTCCAAGGCCATCTAAACAAGCATCAATATAAAGTATAAAGGGCTTGTCATAATCTGGTTGGGCTAGGACTGGTGCAGAAGTGAGTAACCTTTTTAATTCCTCATAGTTTTTTACTCTTTCCCAAGTCATCTCATAAATGGTGTCATCTTTACATAGTGCATATAAATTCTTACTTACTATGGCAAATTGAGGGATATGTTGCCTGTAGTAGCTACAAAAGCCTAAGAATGACATCATTTCTTTCAAGTTATGAGGAAGAGCTTTGTTCATTACGGCAGCCACTTTGTTTTGATCTACAGCTAAAGTTAGGCCAGATACTATCCTACCCAGAGCTTTAAGTTCTCCATAGCCAAAATTGCACTTTTTAATGGACATCTTTAAGCCAGTTTTGATGGCGGTACTAAGCACTAGGTTAATTTTCTCCAAGTGGGTTTCCCAATCATTTGAATATATAATAATATCATCTATGTAAACCATCATCCAGTCTTGTCTGATGAAAGCACCAAAAATTGAGTCCATCATTCTTTGGAAGTGGGAAGGGGCATTTTTAATCCCAAAGGGCATTCTCAAATATTCATATATTCCCAAATGACAAATTATTCTCAAAAATTGTCTGCTATCTGGGTCAATGGGTATCTGATGGAAACCTTTAAGAACATCCATAGTAGTGATGTATTTAGCTTTGGATAAATTGTGCAAGGAGTGATCAATACGTGGAATGGGGTAATAATCAGGTCTAGTGTAATTATTCAAAGCTCTGAAATCCCCAACCATTCTTGATTTCTCATTATGCCAAGCAATTATTACTGGGGTAGTAATTTCTACTTGTTCATTGTGTCCAACTTTCCTCAGCACACCTAATTCCATTAGCTCTTTAATGTGAGTTTCTAAAGCTTCTCTGGATTTGGGACTGGAAGGATAAGGGGGTCTTCTCAAGATAGGAGGATAAGGTTCTTTAATAGTTAATTCCAACTTCATGTCATGCCCTTTTATGTTACCAATAGGTTCTTCAGTAGTACAAAAGGATTCTTTATTTATGAAGCAAGTGTTGAGTACGTCTAATTTCTGTTGCTCGTCTAAAATATCACTAACAGCTGCTTGAGAAAGATATTCAGCTTTGAAGGACATCATTTCTTCCGTCATTTCATCTGGTACATCAGGTAGTTTGATATTCACATTGCAAATTTGAAATTTCCTTTTCCAATCTCCCCCAATAGTATAGAATCTGTTTTTACTTTGAAATATGTCAATTCCATACATGCAAAAAGTATCATTCCCTAGAATTAAGTAATCACAAATGGCATCTTGAAGAACTACAAATTCTATGGACAGTCTTAAAGATCCTTTGGAGTGCGGAAAGATTAATGGCATTACTACAATTCCTAAGGGTTTCATTGAAGAATTACAACTACTAAATTTTGCTTTGGGGACAGGCAGCAAATCATTTTTCCATTCTGGATGTATTTCATCTAAGAAGTTGCTACTGGTACACGAG